CAACTGGAGAGACACTCACCCAGGATTGGTCAAAACTGAATGAATGCTGATGGTCGTCAAGGTCGTCCTCGTGCCTGGCCTGCTGGAACTCGGTTCTCAGCTTCTGTATCCGGTCATGGTTRCTGGGAGCCATCTGACTGCTGGGACAGAGAGGGAAACCAGGTAAACCTTTTTTGATAATCTAAAGATATACAAGAATATTTGAATGCCTTTTTTTCACAGAGCCCTTTGTCAGGGGTAAAACCTGGAAGGCAAATCCAACTAGCATGTTGTTCCAGCTGTCTTTTTAGATTAAAATGATTCGCTTGACCACAGTGACACCGCTCTAAACTGTTTGGAAGATACCGTGATCTGACAACCATAATTCCTGTTTGTATATCGGACTGACATTTCAGCATGCTTTCTATACCCACCCTCCCTCTTCTCAGCCGTTACTCACAAATATCCCCACCACTAGAAGTGTCCCCCATGTGCTATCTTGAGTGATGCATGTTTCTATCTGAATACTGGAGGATGTTGGCCTTTTATGATACACAGCCATTAAATGCTGTGGAAAAACCCTCATTTACATCTTCTTCATTAAAGGCCTTTGAAAGGCCTGTCAATAGGAATCAATAGCGCTCCCTTAGCTTAATCAGGCCTTCTTTTTATCATGAGCTACAGAGGCAGCACATGACAAAACACATAATTATGATGGAACAACCGGCTTGATAAAAAGACTGCACTTGTGCATACTGCAGGGATGAAAGTGACCAAAGGTTAGGAATTTGTGCTGGAAGGGGATGGGAGCTGAATGATGGAGGGAGAAGAATGAATAGGGTAAGAGGGGGGAAAAGGGAAAGATAAATATAGGAGGCATGTTCAACGGGAGGGTGGTGAGTGTGAAACAAAAAGAAAGGTTAAATAAGAACAAAGAAAGAAGAGTCAGCCAAGAAGAGGGAGCCATAATAACCAGCAAAATGATGAGCACAAAGTCACAACTGCATGAAAAAAAAAAAAAACTAATAGAGACAAAGGCGAGAACCTTTTTGAAATGAGCACTTCAAGGACCATGTCATGGTATACCTTTCTAAGGTGCTCTCACAGGTGGCGTGCAGGCAGACGAAGTGATTGCTTATTTGGGCTCCAAGGATTCTCGATGCAATTATGGTGATAATTGCAGATTAGAATGAGCACATCCCTCCGATGATAATGGGCACTGCACTAGGACATGCTGCCAATCAAGCTTCATTAAAAGCCCAACAAATAGCAGCTCTTAAAGGTTGCATGGCTTGTGGTACATCCCTCTTAGTAGCACTTAGGGAGACTCGGTTATCGTGTTATTTATACTGCCTGATCACAATCAATTGTATTAGTTAAACTCCATTTGATTCCTATAGCTTTATATGTAGGAGTGCACAGGGAGTGTACATTAGGCTCTTTATGTGGACGAAGGCAATTAGGTGGCTCACTGGGGTGTGAGGTAGCTTATGCTTTTATGGTGTGGGAGGATGGTGTCCTTTTATTGTTGTTCATTACAAAATCAATGGTCCTTCTCTATTTATTTGAGGTTACTTAAATGAGAAATGTGGTATTGAGATATTTCATTACTTAATTGTAATCAAGAAGATACAGATTTCTTTAGTCTGTCTTGCGCCCCTCCTGCCTCATTATTTAAAGTTTTACAGCATATTTTCTGTATATGTTCTATATTGTTAAAAACTAAGCTTGTCTGTTGCGTTTCCACCCATAACTCACATGCAAATGCAAAATAATTTTAAAGCTTCTTTACAAGCATAGAGTTTCGGAAATTCCCTTTAAAGTGGATCCATGTTGACTGGACAAATGCAGATTTTGAGAAAGAGTGATGTAGCAGGTTATTTAGTGCATGCTAACTATTAATTTGGGCCTGAAGTCAAACAACAAAGGTGATATTTGTATTTGATTGTTAGTTTATTTATTTATTTATTTATTTATTTTGCTTTGACTTTTTAATCTTTTACTATGATTGTGTTGCCTTTCAAGGTAGGTTTTAAAC